GAACACACCCACAAACCGACGGTATCCAGGCGTGTTGTTCCACCGGTTCCCCTCAAGCACTCCCGATACTCCTGTTGGCAGCACGAATTAGCCAAGGCCAAGTCCAGAAAGCTAAACGAAACTTTCATTCTAGCTACAGGCAGACGGAGCGATAGGCATTCTTCATCCTTACCGACATGCTTTGTGCTGGAAGACCACTAAGAGTCTGAAATGTTCTAGACGACTGATATATGCAACACAAAAAACAATTATATCATCTCTCAGGCTCACCTCTCAACATCACGGAAAGGCAATAGAAACGTGATGTCCAGAAACAGCGAGACCGAAAGAATGTCGGTGACACATTAGTGGATTGCAATGCTCTGGACAACATAAAGGATGGCAATTACTGCGGAATCACATAAACGCGCTGCGTCATATGCACCTAACATGATTTTGTGCATGGGTTACGCGGATTCACACAATTCATGATGGCAGCATGCCAGCCGCAGCCCACATTTCGCTACTTCCGTTAACCACAGTATAGCTAAAAACATAAGTAATTACGTTCCCCGATGATGGTACTAAACGTTTTTCACCAATAGTCATCCAGCTGCTACCTTCAACCACGTTGGCTCCTGCACGATACCTACTTTCGCAGTTCTTTAAGATACGTTGCATTGTCCCAGTCTGCCTTACATATTCATATTGAAATGCTAACAAACCGGGAACTCCTTGCAGGTGCTTGAACACAGAATGGCTACAATAATTCAATGTCTTACTGCGCAGAATGTATCCCCATAAATCGGTATGCACGCGCATAAACCCAAACTGGGTGTCTTACTAGCTGCAACGCAACAGTACCAGGAAACTCGTCCAGTATACGAATCTGCTGCTGAAGGCGAAGTGGCTGGCGAAAAGCATCCTCCTAACGCAGCACCTAGTCCACCTTCGCGACACCAAGTCAGCAGGCAACCTAAACCAAAAACTGCACAATCCCACGACGATTACGTGAGCAGGTGGGGAGCCATCCCGTGCATGCTGGGGGAGCGAACGCTCCCCGAGTGTGCTTTTGTCTACGGTGTTAGAGTGCCGTGAACAAGTAGATTTAAGACGCTGTGTCCAAATTGAAGCGACTAGAAGAGAATCATCGCGTAGTCTCAGACAGCACATACCCGAAACCTAACCAACTTAGTAACATCGTTTGTAATGCCAGCGTATGCGTTGCAAACGCGCATCACAGTGCCCAATCGCCGCAGTGCAGTAGGTACTACAGGAGAGCACGATACAAGAAAAACAAACCCTTACTCCTTCTCCCACGGCATACACGCCTTCATGTAATCCATCAAAAGGCATTCGTTGGAACAACACCCAAACCATCCTCTAGATGATGCATTTGGTCTCCATGATGCAGGCAGTACAGTTGGTGAGCGATCTATAGTTCTTCTAGCTGATTAATCCTGCTTGATGCACGAAGCTTCGGCGAGTATGCCCCCCTATTATGCGCATACGTTCTGGATAAAGCTCTAGGAAGTCGCGACGCCATCAGCTCTGCACCAAATATTGCTTGTACTCGTAGGAGCATAGGGAACTGATGCTACGCAGTGTAACCGAACCAGCGCAAGCTTAAATGCCAACTCCACGAGAACACAGCTAGTTGTATGTGGCGTCCAAAAGTCTGCATGCATGCACACATGCATCGCTGTTTGTCTCCATACAAGCTGAAGCATAACAGGGCCCACACACGAGCCAAGACGCCTTTGTGTGGAATGGAATACTTACTGGACCAGCAATGCACTCTCTCAACCCTAGAGAGAGCTCCTCCACACAGCGTCCGCGGGCATGCCACACGAATGTCAGTAATGCCACGACGCCGATCCGCTAACTCTCCTCCAAGCATTGGTTATGCTGCAGTCATCAGCCAGACCTGACCCTCACTAGGCCAACAGAACCTTGAGCAGGCATAATGTTTCCACGAAGTATTTAAAATGCCCTAATCCATAGAAGCTGATCGTTTCAGACGCTGAGACGCTGGTCTCAGACGCTCCGTCCCGTAGGATCCGAGCGTCTGTTATCCATGGTAGTCCTGCTGCTGATAGTCAGAACTTACGCAGGCCTTGGAATCTCCTTCAGCAAGCATTCGGCTTTTCAGTTCAGAGCTATGACTGTTGTCTGATTTGAGGGCCCCAAAGCAGTGAAGGATCAAAAACGCTAGCGCAACTGTACTTGCAAGCAGAGCAACCGATAATAAGGGCCTCAAGCTTGAGTTTTTTAGTCCCTGTTGCAACGGGACTACACTCCGACCTGTCGCCACAGCTGTATTTTGTAGAGATATGCCGTAGGGACTGGGAATAGGAGGGATCGGTACACCGCCGACGTCTGCTGACTCGACTAAAAGCGCCACGCAGGCACAGAAAAGTGGGGTGAACACAAGCATTCTGCCGGCCATATATGAATATTGTTCAGTGTTTATTAGAGCCTAAAGCTGTTCAAATATATTTTCAATGGACAAGGGGGAAAGGAGGCTCGTAAGTAATTCAGCCTGCTCAACTAACACGGAAGTTGAATCCTCCAATGCCCTTGGTGCACGGGGCCGGCGCGTGTCGCCTCCTTGGACTGAGAGGGCCATCCACTTTCTCGTTATGTTTTTATTGTGCTTGCCTTATAATATGGGAAAAACCGTGAGTAGATGCTTTGTCTGAGACCAGTTGCTACTGTTGCACTGGGGGATCGATCATGGATGTTTGTTCGTGAGCGTTGTCAGTCAATCATATACGTGCACAGTTGTATATGGCTAAGCATAACCCAGCGTGCTCAATATCAATAATTTTTAATTGCTTTCTTGAGTCGTTGTGTGATTTCATAACGCGCGCTGCTCCCGTGCAACATCGGTTGTTCTGAGGGTCGTCAATCAGCATAGGCGAGTCAGGTCGTGGAAAAGGATGTCAAACTACGGTTCACGATGTTTGCACAAAAAGGCGCTATACCACAAAAAGAAGTGTATCTCCATTCAATTTTCCAAGCTTCCGGGGCACGCCACACAATGTAGTAAAGCTCTTGCTTAGTCTCACTGATGTTGGGAACTCTGTCTGAAGTTGCACGGGAACACTTACGCGATCGTAGCACGCAACAGGAACGAAAGCTGAAGTCTACAGAAATTGTAAAAAGTGTTCATGCGTACAGTCAAGAGATATCTTGTGGTCTTGCATGTGGGGCTGTCCTTCATCGTGTATTGCAGCAATCTGAGTTACAGCTTATGGCAAGCCGCCTTCTTTGCCGCAGCTCCAGGGACTTAGGCCGCCGCTCTCAAGACGCCTGGAGCCTGGAAAGTGAGGTTCAGGTGCTTGTAAGCAACGCACACCTTCAGCGTGTTCCCTCCGTTGCACGCGAAAAGCCTTGGATAAGTTTGAGGCCTTGCGTAGGAGAGGAACCAAGGGTTAAAACACCGACCTCACCTATATGATAATATATATACAATGCGACGGAATGGAAATCGTCCCTTACACAGCCACACATGAGAAAGGGCGTGGGGATGTCATCGGAAGGGCTAAGAGTAATGTCTCCTCACTTAACCGGAGTGAATGAACTGTAGAGTAGCAAATCGGAGATGCAGAAAACAAAAGCTCCATATCATGTGCAGCACATACAGGCCTTAGGGCAGTAAAAACCCTCCTGCTTTCTCGTCGCTCCACTAAGCACATTCAAAACATCGTCAACCGCGGCGCCCAAGCAAGACTGCATGCAGAGCGAAATCCGCTTTTGAATCTTGCCTCGAAAAGCAAGTGTCTCGGACACTTCGAGTGTGGTAACTGCGTAATTTTGTTCAATACCCCGACTGTTCCTGCTCGGCACAACGAGGGTGGCTTCCTCAGTACACTGCCGAGCGCTGCGGAGCGACTTAGGAACATGCCTAGTAAGCAGCGCTTAAGAACCAGAAGCACAGCTAGTCGTGGGATAGCTAGCTACCTAGCTAGAACAACGTGCAATGGGAGTTACGCGAAGCGCTGCTGCTGCTGCCTGCAGGTGCTGCAGGATAATCTCGTTCCCCGAGCAGGATTATTCTACCTGCGTGAAATTAGTGCTTCAAAGTTTCTTGGTGGTGTAAAGGTCAGCAACGCGTATATGCACAAATACTAAAGACAACCGGTTTGCAGGTAACGACAAGAAGGGCATCGCTGCCCTAACAACAAAAACATACCGCCCCCCTTGCATGTCAACCCGAAAATTACCATGGAGTTTCGCCCCCGTGCATGCAGCTCCCAAGACAACGCAGGCTGCAGCTGTGAGCAACTACCACAGTGGCTGCAGACTTAACGAAAGGCGCTCCCTCCATGTGCACTCCGGATGGACACACACCCATTTTAGAGCGAGCGAAGTGAGCATACACTTGGCAAGTGAACATACACCTGGCGGCGACGTCCACTTCTCGTTTGCATTCTTCTTCCCAGGTAGACTTGCACAACTCAGATCAGCTAAAGCCAAAATAAACGCAAGGGATGCATCGCTGCGCAACACTGGAACGGGACGCAAGAGCAGCTGCAGCAGCCACCACAGCAGTAGGTTAAGCAGGGTCCGCAGCAGCAGCAGCAGTTGAAACAACAGGGTGACAACCAAGGAATATGTTGCTGCGCAGGGCAACAAACAGCCCACATCCGATCCTGCCTTGAGGGGCCCCTGTGAGGACCCCTGCTGCAGCATATTCTTTCCACAGCGTGGGGCAACTGGGGGGGCACCGTGGGGGACCCGTAGGGTCACCCGTGTAAGGACGACCCAAGCGCCAGCACCCCAAAGGAGCCCAAAGCAAGAAATTCCACCTAGGAGAGGACTTCACATCAGAAGGGCCCTTCTTGAGGGTAGCCTCCTCCCCAACGGGCAACTCCTTGGGCGCTTCTACCGCCTCACAGACTTTCACCTGTGTATCCACCGCTGCTGCACCAGCAGCAGCAGGCCCCCATAGTTTCTTCTATCCGGGGACCCCATGTTGTTGTCTTGTATAATCACACGTGGCCTGGGGGGGCCTATCAGCTCACGTGGAGGGCCCCTCCACCACTAGGGTACCGAAAGGGACCACACATTGGGCATGATGCCTTTAACCGATCAAACAGCCAAACGTCAAGACAACCAGCTAAGCACAACACACAAACCCAAATAAAAAGTTCTATGCGCTAAACCCTAATTTTAAATGCTTACCCTCCAAATCTAGATCCTTAAAGAGGCATTTCTTTAAGATGCAACAGATAACAAGTGTAGAAGAAACAGCAGCAAGGGAACCAGCAGCAAGAATATCAACAGCAACAGCAGCAGCAGAAACACCAGCTACTGTGCCATGTAAGGTCCTTAACATATGTATGCCCTGCTGTGGGGCCACCCGGAAGAGCCTGCGGGGGCCCTAAACTGCCTGCCCCTTGCACTTGCACCTCCTATGAGCCCTGCTGCAGTGATCTAAGGATTTAGAGTTCAGGGTTTAGGGTTTTGGAGGCAAACACTTACCATGAAATTTGTGGCCGCATGCAGTCACAACGCGGAGAAGTTCCCCCGGTTTCATGTCGTCAAAGCAGAAGATGCATGCCTTCATACACAAACGCAAACCCTCAACCCTAAACCCTAAACCCTAGATCCAACACCCTCCACACCACACGCCAGTAGTATACTACACCCAAGGAACAAAACACTACACCCACACTAGCAAGCAGCTTTTCATTGTTGCAGTTTCTGCTGCAGCAGCAACTGCACCAATTCAGCAGCAGCGCCGAGCAGAAACTCATGTAATCGCCACTGCATCCACATTTGCCCCACTATAGCAGCAGCCCCTGCAGCGGCAGTTCTTGCAGCAGCAAGCAGGGCATCAACAAACACAGCACCAGCAGCGGTAGTAGAGCGCAAGCTCTCTTGGAGGCGGACCTCTAGCTCTCTAGAGTGGAGGGATGAAGGGGTGCCTTGCCCTTCAGGCTGTGCCGGGGTGCTGCCGTGGTACTGGAGGCACCCTTGCGTTTTGCTGCTGCTGTTGCTGCTGTTGCTGTCTTGCAGCAGCAGATGTGTACAGCTGAGGACGCGGATGTGGTGTAGTAGGCTGGCAGGCAATAGATTAACAGCTTTTAAAAAGGAGAGAAAGAGATAAGAAGCAAGAAGGCATGCAGCACAGCCTAGAGAAAGCCCCATCAATATTGCTTGACCCTCGGGGGGCCCCTTGGATAAAGGCCCCACAACTGCCGAGGAGGGAGCCCCCAGCAGCACATCAAGACGATCTGTATAAAGCCAACGGATTAACATGTAGGACAAAGCAGAGAAATAAAGTCTTCGTGAAGGGGACCTAAAAAACAAACTTGGGGGGAACAAGAGACACCGCTGCAGCAGCCCTACGCAGTACGCTATACACTTGAGCAGCATGGATACAGCCCAAGACCCAACAGCGGCAGCAGCTGCGGGCCCCCCTCCTGCTACCGCCGCCCTCGCAGCTGCAGGGGAGCCCGGAGGGGACGGACGAGGAACCGGCTGTTGAGGGCCACTGGGAGGTGAGGGATATGGCGTGCTAATATTGCTGCTGCTGCTATTGCTGCTGTTGCTGCTGTTGTTACTGCTGCTGTTACTGTTGCTGCTGCTGCTGACCATGCTGTTGATGCTGGGTGGGCTGGATGTATCAGAGTACCCTGCTGCGGCAGCAGCTGTAGCAGCAGCAGCAGCTGCTGCTGCTGCAGCAGAAGCAGTTTGCGGTGCAGCATTAGCCTGTCCCCCAAAGGCACCGATGGCTCCCCAAGGTCCGGCGGTCCCTGCATGCACGTCCTGTATATTAAGGGGGGCCCCAAATATCTCCCCTTGTGCATGCAACCATCTAGATAGATGCAATGCCATTGTAAGGAGAGGAATATCAACAATAATGCGGCAATAAATACTTAAATGGAATGCTGCTCTTGACCCTCCATTCCATAGGGGCCCTCTATTCTCGGGGGCCCTCCATGGAGAGGGCCCCCCCCCTAAAGGTAAACAAAGACCCCATAGATCTACACCGCCATAGGGTCCTGCATCCGATGGTGGCCCCAAGTGCCTGCCGCCTAAACCAACGCTGCTTGTGCTGCTGCTGGTGATGCTGCCGGTGCTGCTGCTGTTGCTGAAGGCCCCACAGGTGAGAGACTCACACCAGACAGGGAATAGACTAAAATGGTCTAAAATGGGTATAGCTGGGGGGGCCCCCCCAAGAGATGCAAACTCTGCTGCTGCTGCTTGTGGCAGCACAAGAGCAGCATCTAATAGATCTAATAACCACAGACAAAGAGCAGTAAGAGACACAAAGGGGGTACCCACCCCTACAAACAAACAACAAAAAGGGTACAGTAAACCGGGGGCCCCCACGGAACTTATATGAAATACCCACTCAGCTAATCGACCTACAACAGGGCACAGATGCAGCAACACAAGCAGCGGCAGCTGCAGCAGCACACTTAGACGCCACCGCAGCTGTCTTGCTGCTCCTGCTGCCCATGCATAACATGACCTCCATACCTCTTGGGGGCCCCCCAGAGGCCCCCATGGTACCTCTGCTGATTTCGCCTTTGACGAGCCAGAACCCGGCAAACCAAAGGGAAGCAACCCACTGCGCATGCAGCCCCAAACTCTGCTGCTCCTGCGGACACGCATGCCACTGCTGCCGCTGTCGCTACCGCTCCTGCTGTTGCTGTTGCTGTTGTTGTTGCTGTTGCTATTACTGCAGGGCAGCGAAGCAGACAGTCCACTCGCAGCAGGGGCAGTTGGAGCGGCACATTGTTGGGACGGTCGCCGCTTTCTTATGCTGCTGTTGCCGTTGCTGCTGCTGCTGCTGCTCGCGCTGCTGCTCGCGCTGCTGCTGTCCGGCCTCGGGATCTCTTGCCCCCCACTGGGACTCTCCGAAGGCGGATTATTCATTGCAGCAGCTGCTGCTGCAAATAAATAAGGAAACTGCTAGTCATCCAACCCCCTGCTGCTGCTGCAGATACACCTGAAACCAACACAGTGGCTGACTTCGGGAAAAGCAACAGCTGCTGCTGCTGCTGCTGCCGCTGCTGCTGCTGTTGGTCTTGTTCAAGCGGATGCTGCAGAGTCTATCTATGAGGCACTATATGCCCTGTACACTTTAGTTGTTGCTGTTGCTCGTGCTGTTGCTGCTGTTGCTGCCACTGCTGCTGCTGCTGCAATTGTTGCTGCTGCTGCTGCAGTTGCTGTTGCTCCCTGCCGCTACTGATGCAGAGGCACTGAAACATCGCCAGGCACCATGTAGGGCTTCTATTAAATGCATTTAACTAGCAAAAGCCAAAGACAAGCGTTAATAAGCTGCGTTATTGGCGGGAGATTGCTGCTCCTGCTGCGGCGGCGGCAGCAGCAGCAGCGGTAGCAGGCCGTACGGTAGTAGCTCGGCAGCAATGGCAGCCCGAAGAATGTCTTTCCTTTATGATATTTTATTCTTTTTTTGTTAATTTATAATTAAATAATTAACAATATAAGGAAAAACAGAAGAACGATGCACGTTAATGTAAAGAGAGGCACCGTTGCACGTGGCTATGACGGCGTCGCTCAGTGGACAACCCCCGAGGTTATGATATATGTATATGAGAAAAAGAATAAAAAGTGAAATAATTAAGTAAAATAAATTAAATTTATATTTATTATTTAAATTATATTTTAACCAACAAAAAATGACGAATTAACAGCCAAGAAGCACCGGTCACCGCATGACCGGTAGGTGTTTACTTATAAATCCTTATAATAATAGCCCTCTGTGTAACTTTCTTGCCTTTTCCCTCCTTTAATGACGTGTAGGACAAAGGTATGTAGTAAATAAATATAATATGTGAGGATTAGGTGTCCATAAATCCCAACTAATTCTCTTTTATCCGCCCTTTTCCTTATCCTTTATCTTACATGTATTGTCAAGGTACAAGGATCTATTCATAAGGGGGGATTTATTAATCTCCTCTAAGGCAAAAAGTTAATTAAAAAGATAAATAGAGTCAGCATAACTTCCTCTCCTGTCTTTTCTCTTCCTTTAGACATAAGATAATAGGCACGCAAAATACAGACAACTACTCCTGCATGTGCAGATAGTGCAGCCTCTTTTTGTTGCCTTTTGTATATTATAATGAGCAGTAACAACCAATTAAGATATATTTGTCTATATACACAATATATATATAATAAATATAACCATAGAGGCTGTCTTGTCTCCTATTTATATAGTATGTTAACAGTATATAATATAAATATACATAAATATACTATTGCATGCTACGTATATACATATATATATTATAATATATTATATTAATTAGCTATAAATAAGAAGTATAATTAAAATAACAGAGAAAGTCTCTCTGTGACGATTTCTTAGCTTGGCAAGTTTATTATGTGTCCCAATTCATGCATGCATGCATAATTGCATGCATAATTGCATGCACGAATGCATGCACGCATGCATATATGCATGTATGCATGCATGCATGCATGCATTGAGCTGTCTCTACTAAATAAAAAAAAAAGCAGCCCCATTGACAAGAACACAATACACATTCTACAGACTTCCCTGCCTTTGGCTGCGCAGGCACCTAAACATTTAATAGCAGCCGCCGCCGCCTCAGCAGCAGCAGCAAGAGCAGCAGAAGCAGCAGCAGCAGCAGCAGCCGGCGCTATTGCTACAAGGCCCTTCCTTATGCACCTCCTTGGGATCCCTTTAGATGCCCTTGCTAAGTTTAAATAATACCTCATATATATAAATAAACCCTAAAAATGAAGAAACAGGTGCTGCTGCTGCTGCTGCTGCTGCTGTTGCTGCTGTTGCTGCTGCTGCTGCTGCACCTGCTGTAGCTACACACATTCGATTAATGAATAATAATATGTCTATTTAATTTCTTATTTACTCTACTTGTGCTGTTATACTCTGCAGTCTAAGGCACTGCAGCATTGCCTCAAGGGCTGGTGCACCCCCTGCATGCCTAAACACACAACAGCAACAGCAGCAGCAGCAGCAGCAGCAACAGCAGGTGAATAACAGAGAGGTAAAGGCACAGAGATAGGCAAACACAAAGCAGCAAACCCAGGCATGCAAGCCAAAAAGCAGCAGCAGCAGCATCAGCAAGACTAGCAGCAGCCAAAGCATCAGGCCTAGCAGCAGCAGCAGCAGCGGCAGCAACAGCAGCAGCAGCAGCAGCAGCAGCAGCAGCAGCAATACCTGAAGGTGACCTTAGCAGTCCCTGTACATTCATTGGTAATTGGATCATTGCTTATTTGTAGTTTAAATTGCGGCCTATGAGGGCGAGAGGAGACAGAAGGAAAAGGAGACAGGCAGGTGCCACGGGGAGCAGCAGCAGCAGCAGCAGCTGCTGCTGCTGCTGCAGCAGAAGCACCAGCACCAGCATTATTGGTACCAGTACTATCAGCTGCAGCAGCAGCAGCACCCTGCAGCAACTGCAGCAAATGCTCCTCTCTTATGTCTCGAGGCAAACCACGGAGATGCAGAGTCAGCAGCTGCAGCAAACGCAGCAACAGCAGCAAAAAATAAATAAATAAATAAATAAATAAATAAATAAATAAATAAATAAATAAATAAATAAATAAATAAATAAAATAAAAGGAATAAAATAAATAAAGGAAATAAAGGGAAATAAGAGAAATAAGTAAAGTCGTGGCTGCTGCTTCTGCTACTGCTGCTGCTACTGCTGCCGCTGCTGCTAGCACTTGCCTGCATATCTGGTGTCTGTTTATCGTTGCTGCTGCTGCTGCTGCTGCTGTCTTCTTCTTGTATATTAAATATGCTGCTCTGTGAATGAAAGGATTGTCCTCTTCCTGCTGCAGTCATAGCAGCAAGTTGCTGCCGCCGCTGCTGCTCTAATGACGCGTCCTTAGGTAACTGACGCTGCATACATAACACATGCAGCAGCAGCAGCAGCAGCAGCAATAGCAGCAGCAGCAGATACAACAAGAGTAGCAGCAGCAAGAGGGAGAACGCTTGCATGCGGAAGGGTTTTGCTGCTGTCTTCTCCCTGCTCTCTGACATTTTTATATTATGCATGCACAATGCAGAGGAGGCAATAGCAACAGCAGCAGCAATAGCAGCAGCAGCAGCAGCAGCAGCAGCAGCAGCTAGCTTACACATCTAGCGGTGGGCAGAGGTGGTGGTGTTCCCATGTCAATGGCAGATTGCATAGCCCGATGGAACCTGCAAAAGAGAACAGACACACGTTGCTGCTGCTGCTGCTGCTGCTGCTGCTGCTGCTGTTGCTGCTGCTGCTGTTGCTGTTGTTGCTGCTGATGCTGTTTTTGTTACTGCTGCTGCTTCTGCTGCTGTTGTTGCTGCTGCTGCTTACCGTTCATGAGCGGTGAGGTCTGACTTTGAGGCCAAGGAACGGGCTGTGTCTGGGCAATCGCGTGCAGCAGCAGAAGCAGCAGCTGCTGCAGCAGGAGCAGCAGCAGCAGCAGGTTGTGGGGTTTCTCTACCAAATAGATCAGAGAAATGAGGGTTACGAAGTTGCTGCCTTCTTCTATACTTGTCAGCCTGCAGCAGCAACAGCAGTAGCAGCAGCAAGAGGAGCAGCACGATACAGAAGCAGCAGCAGCAGCAGCAGTTGCAGCAGTTGCTGCTGCTGCAGCTAAATGTAATATACACCAATTATATATACATATAAAGGTAGGTAATAAATAATAAATAATAAATATTATATATAATAATATAAATAATATATATAATAAGGGAAGGAGGGGAAGAAAAGAAGAAAGAAAAGAAGAAAAGAAGAAGGACGTACCTCCTTATTAATAAGGAAGCAATCTGTGCCAACTCTTGCTGCAGCAGCAAACGGAGGGGAAGCAGCAGCAGCAGCAGAAGGAGTTTGCTGCTGGTCATCGCATGCATCAAAGATGCTGCTGCAGTTTTGTTGCAGTCTACGTTGTCTTGCGCTACAAGCACTGCTGCTGCTGCTGTTGCTGCTGCTGCTGCTAGCAGCAGAACGAGGAGTGCTGCAGCAGCTGCCGCCATTAGACAGCAGCGAGCGGCTGCTGCTGACAGCAGCACCAGTAGTAAACCAATGACAATCTCCAGGCAGCAAACCCCCAGACCCTGCAGCAGCAGCAACAGCAGCAGCAGCAGCAGCAGCAAATAGGATATGGGTACGTCAACTCCTGCTGCTCTTTCTGTTGCTGCTCATCCTGATAATCTCTAAACCGTAAACCCTAAACCCTCAAACCCTAAACCCTAAACCCTAAACCCTCAAACGCTAAACCCTAAACCCTAAACCCTCAAACCCTAAACCCTAAACCCTTGACCTACCGACATAATGTTTTCTTGGTTCAACTTTTTTGCCCATAAGATTAAGAGGGAATGGGACTTCAGCCTCTTCCTGCTGCTGTTGCTGTTGCTGCTGCTGCTGCTGCCCTGCTGCATTATTGTTGTTGTTGTTGTTGTTGTTGCTGCTGCTGCTGCTGCTCTCTGTTACAGGCAGCACAGCTCCTGTGCTGCGCAAAGAATCTAAGAGTTTCTTGCGGCTGCTGCGGCGATCCTCACGAGGCTGGAAGGAGCTGCTGCTGCTGCTGCAGCTGCTGCTGCTGCTGCTGTTGTTTCTAGCTAGATTATAGTAGCTACCATACGCGCTGCTGCTGCTGCTATAATTGCTGCTGCTGCTGCTTCTACTATAGCTGCTGCTGGCCCTGCTGAAGCTGCTGCTGCTGCTGCTGCTGCTGCACTCGGATCCTCTCGGTGTAGTAACAGAGGAATGTGGAGGAATATCCTCAGAGGAGCAGCAGCTTGCTGCAGTTGCTGCTGCTGCTGGTATTCCAACTCCAGATGTTGCTGCTGTTGCTGCTGCTGTTATTATTGTTGCTGTTGTTGTTGTTCCTGCTGCTGCTGCTGCTGCAGGTGTTACATCCGTGCTTCCTGCTGCAGCAAGGTCCTCGCTGCCGCATATATGCGCATGGTGCTGCTGCTGCCTCTTCTGAAATGCTGCTGCTGCTCCTCTTTGGCTAAGATAAGATAAATTTATTGGGCATAAATTATCCTTACCTGCAGCAAATGGCATACCCTGCTGCTGCTGCTGCTGCTGCTGCTGCTGTTGCTGTTGCTGTTGCTGTTGTTGTTGTTGCTGCAGGTGCTGCTGCAGCGACTGATGCTGAAGCGGCTGCTGCTGTTGAGCGTATTGTTGCTGCTGTTGTGGGTATTGCTGTTGGGCATATTGCTGCTGCTGCGCGAACTGCTGCTGCTGCTGCTGGGGGTATTGCAGCTGCTGCTGGGGGTATTGCGGCTGCTGCTGCGGATACTGCTGCTGCTGTGCCTGCTGCTGGTATTGCAGCTGCTGCTGGGGGTATTGCGGATGCTGCTGGGGATACTGCTGCTGCTGTGGCTGCTGCTGGTATTGCTGTTGCGCGTATTGCTGCTGGGGATACTGCTGTTGGGGCAGCTGCAACGGCTGCATTTGCTGCTGCGGGTACTGCTGCTGTTGTTGCATTTGCTGCTGCTGCGGCTGTTGCTGCATGTAATCCTGCTGATTATTGAGATTGTAGGGGTTATATTGTTGCTGCTGAGCAAAATGCTGCTGCTGCTCCTGCTGCAGCAGCTGTTGCTGCTGTAATTGTTGCTGCTTCTCTAGTTGGATCAAGTGGTGCTGCTGCAGGTGCTGCGGCTGCTGCAGCTCCTCCTGCTGCTGCTGCTGCTGCAGTCCAGGCTCATTGTAGCTAGAGTATGGCATACGGGGTGTCTCCCCACAGTCGTCGCGCTGCTGCAGCAGCGGTATCCCTCCAATATTATTTAAACGTGGGCTCGTGCTGCAGTTGCTGCTGTTGCAGTTGCTGCTGCTGCCGCTTTTGACGCTGCAGCAGCTGTCGCTGAAGTGTCGTTGCTGTGGTGTCTCCATCTTCTCTTCAGTGTATGAAGATTGCTGCAGATCCTGGTTGCCGCCACAGCTGCTGCTGCTGCCGCTGCTGCTGCTGCTGCTGCTGCTGCTGCTGTGGGGCAGAGTGTGCAGGTGCGATTTGCTGCAGGTGTCTGCGTTGGTGTATATGTAAGGGAGCAAAGAGGAGAAGAAGAAAGAGAAGGAAATGTGTTTGTTTATGTTGGATGTTTCCTTAGGAGGAGGGGGCCCCCTGCAGCAGCAGCAGCGGCAGCAGCAGCAGGACTTTATAAAGGAGCTAGCTAGCTATATAGCTAGCTAGCTAGGAGATCAAGAAGAAGGGGAGATAGGAAAGACCATAAAGAGGTCCTATAAGAGTCAAATGACACAGAAGGAGCAGCAGCAGCAGCATCAGCAAGAATGCACAAGCTGAGGTGTATGTACACCTGAGGCGCAAGCGGCCTCTAGGGGCCAAGAAGGGGGCCTCTGTTGCTGCTGCTGCTGCTGCTGCTGCTGTTTGTCTCTTTTAAGCGATAAGAATTCACATTAAAGAAAATAAAATACTTAAAAATAACAGATCTACTGTATCTAGCGGATCCAGCCCGCTGCCGCTGCTGCTGCTGTTGCTGCAGTAGCCGCAGCTACTGCTGCAGCAGCTCTACTGCAGCAGCAGCGCTAGCGGCGGATCTGTCTGTGTGTTGCTGCTGCTGCTGCTGCTGCTGCTGCAGTTGTTTTATGCAATGTTATTTACCTAAAATAAATCAATTTGTTTGTATCTTTATATTCATTTACTTATTTCCTTATTTTAACTCCTTATATTCATGTTTTGCTGCTGCAGCAAGACACGTTGCTGCTGCTGCTGCTGCTGCTGCAGCAGCAGCCACCGCTGCCGACACGAGGAGAGGGGGGTATATACAGTCGGCGCCGCTCCTTGTTTGTTTCCTTTTTTTTCCTTGTTTTTCCTTGTTTTATTTATTTTATTTATTATATTTGTTTCTTTTACTCTATTTTACTTCTTTTCTCCTCTATATTTCCTTATTTTGCTGCTGCTGTTGCTGCTTGCTGCTGCACTCTTCTGCTGCTGCTGCACTTCCGATGCTGCGGTGTATCTACCCCGATTAGGGTTTAGGGTTTAGGGTTTATACTACTTAAGGGTTTATATTCTCTTCTTTTGCTGCTGCTGTATTTCTTTATTTTACTGTTATTGCTGCTAGTATTTGTTTTGCTGCTGCTATTGCGTGCTCTCCTGCTGCTGCTGCTGCTGTTGCTGTTGCTGCTGCTTCTGTTGCTGCTGCTGCTGCTATTGTTTTTGTCATCATGTGCTGCTACAAGAATGCAGCAACAAACAAAACAAACTAAATAACTAAAATAAATAAAAGATACAAATAATTAATTAATTATAAATAAATAAATTAATTATATTTAATTAAATAAACTAATTAATTATAATTAATTATTTAATTAAATTAATTAAATAAATTAATTAAAATAAACAAACAAAAGGCAAAAAAGAAAAGAAAAAAGAAGAAATAAAAAACGGAAGTTTAATTCCTTCCACGGCAAATTGTTTGTTGCAGTGCTGCTGCTGCTGCTGCTGCTGCTCCTGCAGCAGCAACTGCAGCAGCAGCAGCAACTGCAGCAGCAGTACTTGCTGCCACTGCTGCTGCTGCCACCTATAGAGAATAGTGAGTACCATCTAACAGCAGCAGCAGCAGCAGCAACAGCAGCAGCAATAACAGCAACTTGCTGTTACGATTTGTTGCCTTTGCGTGTGTTGTTGCTGCTTGCGCTGCCGCTTGCTGCAGCAGCAATAATAGCTGCTTGCTGTTGCTGTTGCTCTTGCTGCTGCTGCTGCATGCGTTGCTGCAGCTTAATAGTATTATTCAGGTGTATAGACAGCGTCTTTGTTGGGTTTTCCTTAAAACTAGATACACCTAATACAGCAGCATACTGCTGCAGCTCCTGCTGCAGTGCAGCAGACCTTTTGCTGCGGGTAAGTTTCTTAGTATTACCAACAGCAGCAGCAGCAGGAGCAGCAGCAGCAGCAGCAGCAGCACCAGATGCAGCAGCAGCAACAGCAGCAAATGGTTTAGATGTAGATACTGAATCCATTAATGCATCACCTACAGAGGTCATACTATCAAGGGCAGAAGGACCTTCATCTGCTGCTGCTGCTGCTGCTCGCTGCTGCAGCAGGACCTCAGCATACACCCCAAAATGCTTCCTTCTTTCTGCTGCTTCTCTCTTTGCTAATCTTTTTCTTTGTCCTCTTGATAAACCATTTGTCTCTGTCTGCAGCAAATTATTTAATCGTTCTTTTAGTGCCCCCGATGCTGCTGCTGCTGCTGCTGCTGTTGCTGTTCTTCCTGCTGCTGCTGCTATTGGTGCTGCAGCGGCTGCTGCTGCTACAGTTGATGATCCCTTGTCTGCTGCTCCTGCTGCTGGTCCTCCTGCGAAGGGGCCCCACTTGGGGGCCCCAGAGGGGGTCCCGTAGGGCCCAGCCACTGGCTGCTTGGGGGCCCCTTGGGGCCCCTGGTCCCGGCTCTTCGCGTGTAGGGAGGAACGGGCACGGCGAATAGGAGGCATCTGCTGGTTATAGTTGTTGCTGCAGCAGCAGGCACCACTGCAGCAGCAAAACGGGCTTATTAAGCGGAGTAAGAAGAAGAGAAGAAGGATTAAACCTCTATATATAAATATTAATAGTTTAAGCCTTAAGAATTTGGGTTTAGGGTTTGAGAGTGATAGGGTTTAGTTTCTAGGGTTTAGGGTTTAGGGTTCAGGGTTTGCGCGGTAGGCAGGAAGGTGTTCTTCGAAAGGGAGGAGCCACATGCCCTTAAGAAGAGCTAAAAAAGAAATAAATATTAAATATTTATTAAAAATTAAATATAAATAAATAAATATAAGAAAAAAACAACAAAAAGACGACAAACAACAAGTCCTGTGGGTCGGCATAATAGGCACGGGGCCCCCCTCTCAGTACCCTCACGGTACCCTGGGGCCCCCACACCTTTCTGGGGGGCCCCAGGTAGATCCAATGAATTGTTTTGTTATATAAATCATTATTAATTTAAATAACTCTTTTTATATTTATTTTTAATTTATATTTTATATTTTATAGGGCGTAAGCAACAGGCCTGCTGCACCTATCCATGGCACTATTGGGGAGGAGGTACCTACTACCTTATATATATATGTCCTTATAGTAACAACTTTACTACCTTCCTCTATTCCTTCTTCTTCTTTTTAATGTATATGCATAGCTAATTCCACTTATAGCTAAACCCTAAACCCTAAACCCTAGACGCTAAACCCTAAACCCTAAACCCTGGCCTCCTACAGCCACACTACTAAACACCTAACACTCAGTCAGCTACTCTGCGATGTTCAGAGAAGCACATGCATACATGCATGCATGCATGCATGCATGCATGCAAAAAGAGCGAATAAATATATATAAATATAAATATATATATATATAATTTATACATAAGTAAGTATATAATATGCCATCGTTTCTGCATGCATGTCTTAATTCATTTTATATAAACCCTCATATATTGAGGGGAGAAAACCCTGCATTGGAGGCCCCTCTATCCGTACTAAACCCTAAACCCTAAACCCTAAACCCTAAAACTGACCAAACAACAGTAGGGGGGAACACGGGGCACCTTCAACCAGTTCACTGCAGGGAGCCCTAAACCCTAAACCCCAAACCCTAAACCCTCAGAAGGGTCACCCCCCAAGGAGAAGCAACCGCATGGGCTGTGCTACCCTCAAGAGACCCCAAAAGAATGCTTGTTAGCTAGCTAGCTAGCTAGCTAGCTAGCTAGCTCTCTAGCTAGTTAGCCAATTAGCTAGCTAGCTAGCTAGCTAGCTAGCCATATAGCCAGTTACACTTCTTAGCTCTCAGGTTGCTTCTTCTCTTCTGCAGGAGCAGCCTCTTCCGCAGGCGCCTGCGCATACACTCCAACCCTAAACCCTAAACCCTAAACCCTAAACCCTAAGCCCTACACCCTCTAACAGCAGCCAAACCCTAATGCCCCACGACGTCTCAACACCATAGGCCACATAACAGCGTATAAGGAGCATAGCTAGCTACCTGGCTAGCTAGATAGCTAGCTACTTATTTAGCTAGCTAAATAGCTAGCTAGCCAAGGGACTGACCGGCTCCTTCTTGCATATGTAGATGTAGTGGAGTTCAGGCTTCCCTTCTACTTCAGCCGCTGCAAACCCTCAAACCCTAAACCCTAAACCCTAAACCCTAAACCCTGGAGCCTGCAAACCAGCACTAAACCCAAAGACGTCAACAACGAGCCGTCGATCCCTTTCTGGAACCGCTAAACCCTAAACCCTAAACTGTAAACCCTAAACGCTAAACCCTAATTACCTGGAGGGTTTAAGGAGGGTTTTTCTAGGGTTTGTACATCAACTGTCCATCCTAATTCTTTCTTTTGTAGATGATTAAGACGGAAGACAGGTAACCCATAAGATATCATCATGTATACACCACCAGGCCTGCACAAACCCTAAACCCTAAACCCTAAACCCTATTCCACAACTGCTTGCATAGATCCCTTACTACATATAAATATATTAATATATTAATATACATATTTATTTATATATTTATACATTTATATAATTATATATTAATATATTTAAATACATATATATGCAGGGCTTTAAAAGGGTTTAGGGTTTAGACTAGGGTTTAGGGTTGAAGCTAGGGTTTAGGGTTTAGGGTTTAGGGTTTACTTCAAGACTTGGGATATATGGGTAAGGGCCTTGTGAGCATTTTCAAAAGATTTCTCCCCGCACTGCAGCAGCAACAGCAGCAGCAGCAGCAACAGCAGCAGCAGCAGCAACAGTAGCATCAAAAGGCTAGACCACACACAGGAGCAGTAGCAGCAATAATAAGAGCAGCAGCAGCAAAAGCAGCAGCGGGTGGTCATATTAGTGTTTGTGTATCCAAGAGTTCGTGGTCATCTACCCTTTAATCTAAACTTAAGGGTTTAGGGTTTAGGGTTTAGGGTTTAGGGTTTACAAGTATACAGTCGAGTGTTCCTTTATCAATAACAAAATCAAATGCTTGTTTGTCTAATTGATCCAACTCTAATACATTCATTACAGTAACTGCAGCAGAAGCAGCAGCAGCAGCAGCAGCAGCAGCAGCAGCAGAGGAGACAGCACAATAAGACTCCTGCTGCTGCTGCTGCTGCTGCTGTTGATGGCGCAGCAGCAGCAGTAGCACCAGCAGCGCAGTCACCCAAATCCCGCAACCCATAGCAGCAGCAGCACCAGCAGCACCGTGAGCAACAACAAGAGCAGCAGCAACAATAGTACTATCAGCACCAGCAACACGCAGCACCAGCAACAACAGCAGCAACAGCACCAGCACCAGCAACAGGAGCAGCACAAGCAGCAGCAGCAGCAGCAGCAGCAACAGCAGCAGGAGTAGCTAACATGTCATTCCTGGTTTGTCTGCATATCTTTGTTGCATAAGATTTATACAATAAGGAGAAAAATCAATATTTACTATTGAACGGTACCCGTCCTCCCATAAACCCTCACTCATTGCTGCAAAAAAAAAAAAAAAAAAAAAAAAAAAAAAAT